AAATATAAAACGGCAATTTTCTCGAAAACGGTTTAACGATGCATAGGCTATGTCTTGAGGAAAACAACGGTACGCTCACTCTAGGACCATACACGAAATGCCGATTTTGTTGAAACTAGCGTTGTCTGTCATAAGGACTTCATTGTTGTCCAATGTTGCGCAGCCAACAATAATTATTGTAATTACATTATAATTATTGGTACATTATAATGTACCGAGTAACAATCGAATTCATTTCCAGCTTGACGTAGTCAGGATTAATCGCCGCGCAATATCTTTGCGCAGATCTTTCCAAATAAGAGTAGCAACAATTTATTACAGAATATCTCTCGTCGTGAGTCTCAAGGGGCTTGGCGCCAAGATGAACTTATTGGCTGTAAACCGCAGTCGTAAAGTGACTCTGACCCTGCCTCTGAGTTGTCAGTCGAGAGTTGCAGTTGTGAGGAGCGAGAAGCTGCTAGTTGAGGCCGCGGACAGTTCTCGAACCCAGAGGAAGTGGTAACGTCCGATATTAGAAGCCGCTACCAAGTAACGACTAGTGAAAACTAAGAAGACTTTATGTTTGCTGTAGTTAGACAGATCTTTGGAATGTGTCATCAGTGAGACTGTCGTAGTTATTCGTAATAACGCGTTTCATAAATGTGCAATACATCCCAACCTCGTCTTCAGACACACCATGTGACGATATTCACAAGACAAACTATACAAGGAGATCTGTCCTGCCCTCAGCGTTCATGTAAGCTGTGGAGCCCTGTTTCTCAGAGCCGCATATAACACGTCTACTCAAAAGTGTGTGTGCTTTGTCTAGCATCTGATCGGCCGCATTTCTGAAGTCAACGTGAAGCACGCGTCAGGATGTCTTCTGTATCGAGACGTGAGCAGTCGAAATCTTTTGCGATTTATATCCAGCGAGTTCAACAGGTCTGCAGTTCTACTTGTTGGTCCCCATGGCAACCTGTTGAGTGGGTTGCATATCCACTCCTGCCTTCCTTACGGATCTCAGGTACTGGTTAGATGGAAATGTTCCTCCGGGGACCTGGGCTTACAGTTCGCTTCTGATCAGAATGTCCAGGTTTTATTCCGAGAGCCTGACATGTGACTTTTAAGAAGATTGTCGATTGTAATGCTAATATCTACAGAACAGTGGATTACTTTTTCAGCTTACAGAAAAAATATCGTTATGAATTTCGCTACAGTAATCCACAATTTTCGCATTTAGAAATTTGTTGCCGACTTCTGAAGAGGAACAAACGTGAAATATTCATTTAAAAAAAATAATAATAATAATGAACGTAACTAACTCGACGGAGCAGAGCCCTTCTGGAGAAGCTAGTGGTGGCTCAGCTACTCAATAATGCCTTCGCCTTTTATTGATCCCGAAGGTTCATTACTTGATCACAAAAGCCCGCTATACGTAACTGCCCTTGGCCACGCGGAGTCAATACGCCCCCTGACACCTTCCATTTCTTTCGGATCACTTTTTAGTGTCTTATTACGGTAAAAAAGCAGATTTAATATTGTCACGTTAAGTGATTATAGACGGGGTTTGGATTGGTGGATGAATTTATTGACAACTTATACACACGACTCGGCACTACAAATAATTATAGCGCTAGCGCTCATCTCCACAATTCACAAATCACCACAGCATCCGCTAAGCCTTTTCCAGCCTGCTATGTCTTCACCAGCCAACGGCTTCTAACAATCATGATTCTTCGGCTTCACGCGCCCAGATCCTCTCTTCACAGACTCCCGTGCAGAACTCGCTACCAAATTAAGCTCCAAACCTCCCGGTTATAACATCTTAGCACGGACCTTATATAAAACACAGTTCTTCTATTGTTCCATGCGTGTATGTTGAGGGCGTTACTTAATAACGGCTGCTGTTTAAAGACTCAGCTCTTAGCAACAGGTCTATATGCCGTAGTTAAAACTTCTAAGGTACATACGAAAATAAGTCGGGACATCAGACGAGCGATATTGAGTGTGCCCCAGTTGGGGCTTCATGAACATACAGGCCCAGGTTCAGACCAGCGAGCTGGATGGCCGGGGTTCAATTCCCGATACTTTGCTCTTCACAACTGAAACCAGACCTGCTCTTGGCCAATCCAACCTCTCATCGAGTGGGTACCGGGGATCTTCAAACTGAATTCTCACCTCCATCTATACCGTGTCTAAAATATCTTTGAGGTTTGCTTATCAGTTGGTGACGTAGATTGTTACGTCATCAGTGAAAAGTTGCAAGGTGTTGTTTTTAACATATTTTATTAGTTTCTTGGGTTGGGGTGAAACTGAGTCCACTTGGTGCGTCGGCCACTAATTGGCCTTTTGTACCTGCCCCTGATAGCAGATGATGATGAGTGTGAGGCAGTCGGCGCAATGAAGATTGGCAGGGGAAATCAAAGTACTGGGAGAATACCTCCCCCATTGCCACTTTGTCCACTACAAATTCCATATGATCTGACCTGGGCTCGAACCCTGGCCGCCGCCATGGGAAGCCGGCGACCAACCGCCTAAGCTATGGCACGACCTTAATATTTTCAACACACAGTGGGAAACAAAATTGTCACGAACCAACAGGGCCCTTCTTCCTCGAGGTACGTCGTACTCTCAATGACATTTCAGATAGACTCAGATTAAGAATACGTGGAGGTATATTTCAGCTTCCCCATACATCTTCATGCGGGTAAAGAAAAAGGTAAAAGATAAAACTATCCATATAACAGGGCGTGAATGCCCATAGAGTTATGAGACGTCGAGGCTCTCACATATTCTACACAATCGGCTAACAGATGGCGGTGAGATTGTCAGCCTTACGCGCCGGCCGACCCCTCTATACCCCCAGGAATATTCCTGTTACTCATTTCTGTTAGAGGCTGAGTCGACCCTGGGGCCATGATGCGACTTTAAGGATTGGGTCAATTGGAAAATTGAACCACCTCATCAGGAATCGAACCCGCTACCTTAAGGCTTGTAGCAAAGTGATTATTATATTACCATCTTCTTTAACATAAAGAAATCCTGCATTCTGCCCACACAGTGTATTTGTGTGTTCCATATTGTTCTCACAATAAACAGCGATTGTTTCCCTAAACACCATTAACGGGTTGGGATTTGTAGCGGAGACGTAATGTGTTTCCTGTGAGGTACGAACTGAATCTTTATAAATAAATTGGTAGAAATTCTGTCTTTAAAGTCCCGTGTGGAGACGGGGTCGAATACCTCCACCGTGACCCTGCGAGTCGTAGGAGGTGACGAAGAAGGAAGTCTCAAATCTGAGACAGTAAAATATGGTCACGAGTAGCACGGGATTCGGACCCAAGAATGACTGCACTGGCGAGGCCCAGCAGCAATTATAAACGACAGACCCGTTATCTCCTCAGAGAGAGCGCCCCACACCAACAAACCCTCAACTGTCTGACAATAATAAAAATCTGGCCGTAAGCCCCAGACTGGTGGTTCATTCCAAGATAGACTGGCCGACTGACCGTCGGTCGTAACATAAGACTCGACTTAGTTACGAACAGTGAAGTCTCCCACCCCGGTGGGCAGGACCCGAAGTGTGCACAAACCTTGTAACATGGTAAGGAGCGAAGGGACTTCGTGCACCGCTTGTCTCTGCTGGCACAGTGCGCGGTGAGACAGACAAATTACTCCATAATTGAGCTCTCTGACTTGTCGCAGAAATGGAAGTTCCACATTCAGTAAAAGCTTTTTCCGCTCTGGTATTATTATTACTCTTATTGGATTTTCTGCTCCTGTCGTCTTCATAAAAATGCTTCAAGGGACATACATAAAGAGGAAGGTCTCTGAGGATAATCTGTAACGTTGCATTGTTGTTTCTCCGCTTAGGTTTTTGGGTTTTGTCGTCGTGGCAAAGAACATTCTGTACATGACTTCAGTTTATGAAATGTTGTGGCGTGCACGTCTGCAGCCACGCATCAGAAGCCAAGCAGCCGGTAACAAGGACAGTTCTCTCAACAAAACGTAACAAAAATGCGCCTGTTATTTTTGCCGTGACTTTCTCGCAACAGTGCAAGAAGCTCTGGACGTATTTTCATGAAGTCCGCTATTGAGGCGTTTCACTAAAACATGTCGACACATCTAGTTTTTGTTAAAATCGGACAACGACGAGCATTTGAACATGAAGACACAATCGCTCTCCTGCGCAGATCTCGTGCGTAACTCGATAATGTATTTGTAGGAACGAAAAAATGTTCACAATAAGCGTCGAGAAAAGTGAAGACGGCGCTTTATGTCGCCTATATTTTTTCGTCGTGTCTCCTGTGTTTTCGAGATGATTAAAGAAAATCCATGCTCTGTTATAATCTCCGAACTTCTGTGTTCAGCAACCAGCACTGATCTCCCGAACACTCCCGAATATTACCGAAGTCTCGATAAGAATTAAACGAAAGTTCCTCTCTCCTGAATTTATAGGCCCACGTGTTATTAAAAAACTCCGTGGCCTGTAGTCCATAAGTAAATTATACCGACGGAGCGATCGCCGCTTGTCGGCGAAGTTTAGCCGATAGAGGGTGTCACGTAATCAACGCAACGAATCTCCACGGCCGTTAATTTCGGTTTTATAGATCGGACATGTTACATGAATAGCTTTACCTTTTTTTAATAACAATGAAGATTGGAGAATTTTCACTGAATTGTATTTATGCAGTAGACATTTTGATTTATCGCGTATCTGCAGGAGTACCGACTGACAGTAAATGGTTGCATGGGAATAGGGTAGGACGATTTCTTAGTGTACGTGAAGGCCACGCACTTGTGTGACGTGTCTGTGAAGGACACATTCCATTAGGCACAGATTTTCAGTCTTTCTGTTTCAGCGTCACGAATGGATTTCGATTTCTCGCTTAGAGTCTCGTCCCTTGTTTGAAGGATTATAAACCACTGTATAACGCTGTTGTCATATTGCGAATAAGAACGGCCATGTCCCAGGCGAAATAAGACACTTCTGTTTGTCATGAACTTTTGGCGGGTTTCAGGTGCGTTCCTGGTGCCCTACTGCATAATGCTCGTGGTGGGAGGCATCCCGCTGTTCTACATGGAACTGGCTCTGGGGCAGTTCAACCGCAAGGGAGCCATCACTTGCTGGGGCCGCCTCGTGCCTCTCTTCAAAGGTAAGTCAGGTCTGCCATTACGGATCGTTCTCCAGCAAGTGACAACACTCGGATTGACTTTCCTTCCAGTCTGTTATTATTATTATTATTTGAGGGGGATTTCCCCATGCACCGCGACTAATAGCCTATTGTACGTCCCCCTTTGATATTCTACCAGTCGCCATACCCTACCGCTACTGGTGAGTGCTATCAGCTCCGTTCAGCCAACGAGGTGGGCCCTCGGTACACGATGCTTCCCCCATCTACCAGAGGCATTGGAAACTACTTGGGCGGGAAACTTGCCTAATTTTGCTCAGAGGTCTCCTAGAGACATGGGGATCTCTTACGTGCCATAAATCTACGACACGGGACCCACGGCTTAAAGTCCCTCCCGGAGGACTTGTTCCCTGATTTTTTCCGCCCTTAAAAATTCCACTACCTCCGCCGGGTTTGAACCGGCGTACCTTGAGTCATGAAGTGGGAACGTTACCCCTAGACTACGGAGGCCGCTTTCCAGTCTGTTACTAAAAAACCACTTGCGGGGGAAATCCCTGTGCATAGATTGGACGAAATTATTAAAATGAAACGAATTGTATGCGGCCGTGAATCCAGTTATTTTCACCGAAGTTCTTCGTGGTGTTCCTCAGACCCCCAGACAAATTCAGAGATAGTACCCATGAGGTCATTGGATTTTTTTTTCAATTCACCTAATCCTTCCAGCCGCACTCTGGCCCTGGGGTCGACTCAGCCACTAACAGAAATGAGTACCAGGAATATTCCTGGGGGTATAGGGCGGCCGGCGCGTAAGGCTGACAAACTTACCGTCCTCTGTGAGCCGACTGTCTGGAAAATGTGGGAGTCTTGACGTCTCACAACCCTATGGGCCTCCACGGCCTGTTACAGGGATACCTTTACTTTTTTTTTTTACTTTTACCCCGGTTTAGTACACGGTCACCTGTCAGCGTTCCGCTCGACACTCTGTAGTAGAGTAACGCATAGGAACGCGAACGGAGGATGCCGGCTGGATTCAAGTGGACATGTAAGGTTCTCACTGAAGTGACTATGAAGGTTATGTCTCCTTGGATGTGGCGTCAGGTAGGTCGATTGGCTTGAAACGGACTGCACGGCGTTATATCCATGAACACAGAACTTTTCATAACAACTATTAAGAGATCCTCAAAACGAGACGCATAACTTTTGGTTCTAAACAATTTTCTCTCTAATGATCATTCAGGTAGTCCCGCAGGAACGCATGCATCCGGTATTGCTGTCCGAATGTAGCCAGAATTTGGTATGTCGACAGATCTCGCATAAATTGTAAGAGTTTAATCTAACCATGTAATAGGCCATAGAAGTCCATGTTGTTTTGAGCCGTCGAGGCTCCCACAGTTTCTAGACAATCGGCTCACAGCGCTGAGATTATCAGCCTCACGCGCCGGCCGTCCTTTACCCGCAGGAAGATTCCTGGTACTCATTTCTGTTAGCTGAGTCGACCCCAGTGCCACAGTGCGGCTGGAAGGAGGAAGTTCAATCGAAAAATGCAATGACCTCATCGAGAATCAATCCCGCGACCTTATGGCATGTAGCATAGTGCCTCAACGAACTACGCTATCGCATGCCCTTCCGTAAAGTGTACAGTCTGTAATTTCAGTGACTCCAGAGTTGTTTCCAGCGGACGGAGAAGGTGCACTTTTGCAGTGTGTCGTTGTGAGCTAAGCCAGAATAAGAGGCTCAGGTGGAGAGGAGATACCTCGAGATCTGCTGGATTAGACCCCAGCAGCACACTTCCAGCCAATTATACGAGAGGGCTCCACTTCTGCGTCAGACAAAGATGGAGCTCGCCCCTAATCCCTGGCACTGAACCGGAAGCTACGGTCCGACCGGAAACGTACGCCATTTTCCACGTTCTGAGGATGAAGAATAGAAAGCGCACAGCTGAAAGTGCTTGTTCAAAGAAAACTTCAAGTGGGTGAGACAGGGACAGAGGAAGAAGGGGACGCCTGACGTGTAAGGCGCGACGCATAAAGCCTAGCAACTCGCAGTTCGAAGTCAGTTTACAGGAATACTCCATTGGCCCGAACGCAATCTACATACACCACAGGCATTGCGGGAACTGGCGTGAAAGGCACTGGCCTTTGCAATGTGATCCCGTGCAGTCTTGCAGAAGTTTACCGAGGTATCGGAGGAATATAGCGCCTCCATTTTCACGGTCGAAGAGTAAAGTTGTCCCTGTGTTAACTAATTAAGCACTACATTATGAAGACGTATGGAAGAGTAGATATATAGAACCATGTATTCTTGACCTGGACGCTAGTTGGAGTTGAGTGGTCAGCTTCGCGCCCAGGCCGCTTTATCTCCGGAGAGGAGCCCCAGGTACCCATTGAATAGGAAGCGGTGTGGACACCAGAACCGGTCTGGACGACGTGGAGTGAAGAAAAATATTGCCCCTACCAGGATTCGAAATCTGACACCTCTGCCGTTGAGCCCGTAGCCAGTCGCTGTTCACGATTTAAAATAAACAAAAGAAATAACCAGCCAGGAGCAGAAAAAAAAAGCAGAGCGAGTTGTTGCTACCTTTCTTGGATTACTCTTGTGAACTTGAAGATGGAAGCAGTACATTCCTTCGAAACATCGACAAACTTTTGTCAGATTACACTACTTCACATTGTGGTAATCTGCAGTGTAGCATTTGCGCCCCGTCGGCTGTTCTCACGGCATATTGCGAGATCCGTTGCCAAGGTTTTCATGAAATTTCGCACGAAAATCTTCGTGCAACGTCGGACACACATGCCAGTTGGAGCGAAAATCGGACAACAACAGTACCGACCAGGATGGTGCAGTGGTACCACCCGAGACTCGTACTAGCGCAGCGTTGGCCAACCTAATACATCTCGAGGGCCAAATTTAGTTTATAAAACACCATCAGGGGCCAGATACGGTGTTTCTTTCAGAAGAGTGGTCGGGGAGTATTGCCCCCCAAACTGAATCAGTCACAACCCGTATAAAAACAGTGCATTTAAACCTATGTATTTAAATTTTACGTTGCACCAATAATATTAAGCCGATATTGAAAATTTCACCAATCGATTTTATTGCCTTCTATCACTTCTACGCCCAGAGCATTTTTTCTTAAAGAAACACTGGCCAGATCATGACTTATGTTTGGTTTTATATATGCCGGGGGAAAATGCAATTATAATTTAAGAAAGAAAAATAAAATGCCTTGAAATGTGCAATTACTTACCATAAAACAGCACAAATTCCTCTTTCAGCAGGGATGAGCACAAAAGACTTTCAATCATAGTTTTTATGGTCTAATGATTATACCTAAATCCTCATATACACACTGTTTTAATGAGAGCACTGTGGTTTCATAAAACTGGAAACCAATGATATAAAATCCACTTCTAATTGTGAGGTTGCCACTCGAAGAATATGTGATAACACGACATCTGAAAGTCT